ATACTGATTAATTTACAACATTTGATTTTAGGCAGACCTTAAAATGCTGCCTCCTAGTGTAACATCAATAGGTAAGCTGATTTATGGAAATATTAATTACCGGACAAAGTCACCATCTGTGAGAAATAAGTCTAGCTTTGTGCGAATCAACCTCCCAAAAAATAAATTACTGTTGAAGAAGTTGACAAGAGAGTGAAAACCTATCCATCTTTCAAGGTCATCTTTAAAACAGTTTAATGCATTCTGCCACAAGGAGTTTTATTTTGGAAACTTCTTCTAAAATGTTAATTAATGACCATTGTTACATTTGGAGGGAGAAGATGGAAACTTTTAACACTATAAAAACTGTAAACCACAGGCTAGAGTAGCCATGTTTTGTAGGTGAAACGACTGGGATGCTTCAAAAGACGAAGAAAAGAAGAAAACAATGTTGAATTAAAGGAGCAACATCTGAAAACATCAACCCAAAAGCTTCGACTCAAATGGGTCTGCAATTCAAATCCTTATGCTGTACGAGCCACTAAATTGATGGCATACCTGGACAGCAAAAGGCCCTGAACTCAGTCCCTTAGCAGAGCTGAGAAGGTGTTTGCTTCCAATGTGGCCTACAAACCTGACTTTTCTAGTTTATTCAGCAGCATTGGGCCGAAATCCAACAAACGTTTTTTCAGAAACATACGGAGGGATACTCCAAATATATAAGCCAAGGCAATTCCTTTAATAAATGTAAACAATAATATAGTAAACTTCTAAATTTGGGGGAAATTAGAAAAATGAAAGTCATTATGAAAGTCATGATTCCACTAATTTATTGTTATAATTTTGATCATATTACATATACATTATTATAAAACCCTCTCTCGATATATATATATATATATATACAGCTAATTAATTGATTTGGGTTTTTCGTTTCTCTCAAAACTCTGTTCATGCATACTGAAAATAAATGACTTGTGGGATGTTAGAGGAAAAACAATCAATATAAAAGAATTTCCCACTCAGTGAAGCAGGCAGGAGGTCTGCTTCCCTCAAACATAATTGATGTTCATTATAACCTTAAAAGTGAACACATTGAATTCATTATTTAGATTCTCCATCCATCTGCAGTCAAGTTACCTACCTTTTAGCTTTATAAGTGTAATAAAAAAATGTGTTTATGCACACCTGAGTGGAGCACTAATCTGGGGGTTTATTGTTGGGTGGGTTATCTGTCTGTCCTGTTGTGCATGTGTTACTCATTCAGGGAACTTATCTTATCCAAGCTTCTCCTGCCTCACTGTTTACACAGCAGTCTGAAAGCCTGAAGCAGCTGGTACTCACCTTGTCCGTTCTAGGCTGTGCATCTGTCTGTGTTCTTCCTGTTGGTGTGTTGCACTGGCCCAGGTTCAGCTAAGCTTTATCTGTTAGGTTAACCTTAGTTTGACCTTAGTTTTTTTGCGATCTGCTTTCTATTTTGCAAATTGCCTCCATGATTCTGGAATATTTTAGGTTAAACTAAACTGATCAGTGGTTGTGAGTAAACCACCTGTAGTTTATTTACCTGGGCCTGTGTCTGTGTAGAAGTAACCTACTTGCTGTCTTTAATATTGTTTGGTTGCTTTTTTAACCTCCCCAAAGAAAAGGGGGTTGCTTCAGGCCCTATAACTGGCAATGCTTTGCTAATGAGGAAACACACAGTATTTCTAGACGCTATATTGGTTGGTCAGCATTTTAAAACAGAAAATTTACAAAAAGATAAAAGGATCCAATTAGTTCCTGCTGAATACAGTGCTGGTTATATGTTATATACACTGAGCTTGAAGTAATTTTTGGCTTTTTAACTGTAACCATTGTTTCCTTTGTTTGGAATGGTTATATAAAATGCAAAAACAATGTTAACATGAGGTACTGTCAATATTTTGTAGATTTATTTCAAATCTAAACATGATCAATATAAAACATATATACATGCATCCTCACTAATGTCAGTTTAGAGAAACCAAGTGGTTTTTAAAACATCAACTGGCCTCTGGTACAATTTTGACAGGATATTTCACAACTTCTCTTTCTTACCTTTTTTAAAAGAAATTCCACTGGTTTCTTAGCAGGGATCAACCTTTTAAATATATTCCACAAATTTGCTTTGGGGTTAGGGGCTACACTAGTTCAGAACGTTATTGCTGGACTGGTTTTATTATTTCTTAAATCAGTTTCTTATTTCTAAAATCCGTTTTGAAATGTGTTTGGGACCATTTGCCAAATTTTGTCAATTGTTTTCCCCCGATCTAATTGTTGATTTGAGGTTAGGTTGATGGACATCCTCATCTATGAGCTAACAGAAGGACCCCTTAACATGATTTTCCTTCTGCCATGGTTAATCTGTGGTTTATTATTTAAGCTTAAAAGCATAACTCCTCCAGACAAAATTGTAACTAAACATCTTTCTCTTGTCTGAGCGTTTATACAGCAGCATTAGTGTTCCAATGACTTTCAACTTAATGATAGGATAGGATCCAGCGCTGGTGGTTTCTGGGAAGTTGTTGCTCTGTTTTTTTGTTTTTTTTTGTTTTTGACAGATAGTTTTGGTTCGATTTTTTTTTTTTAACTTTTACATAAAATTATCATTTTATAACTGGAAAATGATCCCAACCACATCATAAACCAGATCATAAACTGTGACTTCCCCAAAGTCCTGATGTCATGGAAGATGCCTAAAGATCCTGTAAAGTAGAAATAAATTAGTTTTCAGTTTGTCATACCAGCAAAGTTTGTTTTATTAATCATCCATTTGAATTTGAAAGATTAAAAACAAAACTAAGCATATAAAATTAGGTTTTAAGGGTAATGAAAAAAAACATCAGGTTTCTCTGCTCTGAGACACTTGTGTCCGCTAGGTCTTCTGAAAACCAGGCCTACACGCTATTCTGTTTCACTGCAACAGTTTTAAAGAAAGAACACACTAAATGTTGTATTTACATTCTATTTTTTTAAGTCCAGGAGGATCATTGAAAGCTACACACATGTGTGACTTTTGTTGAATATGAAAACAATAGTCAGTCTGCTCTCTGACTGCAGAAACAGGCTGCAGCTGCTGAGTCTGAGTCCCTGTGTTTTGGTGGAGGTAGGGGCTCACTAAAGCCTCTCTCCCACTGAAATCAACTATTCACTAAAGATTGGTAAACTCAGAGTGACGCTATCATGTGTTGTCTCCAAAGTTTTCAACAAGAAAAGTAGCTAGAAGGATCTAAAAAGGTGCTAAATATAGGCCCTGAGTTACCAACAATGCAGAGATGCATTTGTAAACACACCCAAAAAAAATCCTAAAACACAGGAATATTGAACCCACTTTGTTTTTTTGGCCACAGTGCAATCATAAAAGGTTGGAAGACTTTTTACACATAAAGAACAATACATTTCTGTCATTTATAATGTGTTAGAAGAAAATTGGGAATTTCTCTTTACATGGTCTTTAAAATTAGGCTGATTTAATCAACTCTCAATTCTGCCAATGAAAATGGCTGCAGTCAGCAACACATAATCATATTAACATTTGGTGTATAATCTTACCACTTGGAGTAAAACATATCCAAAAATTCCAATACTAAACCAAATGCAGCTTAAATATTTTTATCAGCTTCTTAAACGTAACACTAGCACTATAACCTCAGTGTTCAAACCAATTAATATTAATTGTGCTACCACCAATGGGTTAAAGCAGTCTGTGTGTTTCCTTTGCTTTTTAGCTGTGAATGTGGACAACAGCAGCTTTTGATTTAACTGGTATGTTTTGCCGCTTTTCACAATAGAGGGTGACTTGACCGATCAGGCCAGCTGCCCTCGGTCTGCCGGTTCTGATCCTCAGACCGTCATCAGTGACACAGTGGTGGTCGCCAGCACAGCAGTGGGGAAAGTTGCCGCTCGCCTTTCTCCACACAGCCCCACGTCTCGACACAACCCCTTCAACGAGGACTCTGACACCAACACCTCAGCAGATGTCACACCGGTTCATGTGGCCAGCCGTCACAACACCACCGGAGATGAGGCAGAGATCAACGGCAGCGAGCTGGAAGTCATCAGGTTCAGAGTATTTTACACGTGGATCCTGAACGATGTTAGCTGAAAGCCATAATTACCGTCTTTATTATCCATCCCAGGATGGCTAGACGAAAGAAACCAGCCAAGAAGCGGCGGGCGAGGGGATCTACGGATTCTAGCAGCAGCATCCATGCGTCATTCTCCTCTGAACATGTGGAGATGAACCACAGCACCTCAGAGGAGGTGGAGTCTGTAACCTCCACTGTAGTTTTCGAAGACAGCGAAGGAGAGCAGAGCAGAAGCAGGGTTGGGTCAGCAATTGCAGAGGAAGGAGGGGAGGAAGGCCTACTACGGCTTCCAGAGATGGCCGACAACTCTATGAACAATGTGGGGCAGCCCCTCCGTGACGTCATGAAGCGGCTCAGCGGGTCCTGGGCAAATTCAGAGGAGCATGGCTGTGACCAGACCTCAGAGCCTCCTGCTCAGCAGCCCTTTCGCAACGATTCCGAAGGAGAGCCTCCCGACCCAGCTAAAGGAGAGACGTTTGAGTCCTCTTTGGCCGAAAGACCTGACTTCCTGCAGACCTCTCCTGTGTCCCCAGACCTATGCTTCTTTGCCCCTCACAGTCCAGACTCTGCTGACACAAGTGGTGGCCACAATGACTCTGCAGAGCAGAGCCAGTCACAGACTCTTTCAGGTTGCCTTGAAGATGAAGAAGAAGGAGAAGCGCCAGCAGGACAAGAGCCCCTCATGAAGGAGGAGGAAAACTCACAGGAAGATCCACGAGCCAGAACACCTGTAGCTGAGGAAACTGAGCCACAGGAGGAGAAACTGAGTCCCTCTGAAATCTCTCACCCAGCAGAGTTCAAGTAAGAAATCAACACAGGATCACTTGTTCTAGTGCTGCTGTTCAGCGTAAAGCTAATCCTCTTCATCCGTCTCAGGGTGGACAACAATCACCTGCTACTCCTCATGATCCATGTATTCAGAGAGAATGAGGAGCAACTTTTCAGGGTAAGAAAGTAAAAAAATTTTCTTTCTTTTTTTTTTTTTTTAAATAAGTCTTTATGTGCCTTTTTATATTATTACACACTTCACAATATATGAATGAGCAGATTATAGATTTTACTAAAATCTAAAGAACAAAAACCTCCATGATGTGCTTTTACCCAGAGTTGGAACTCATGAGAAGTGATCATGAGCAGCAACATGATTCTAAAAAAGTTGATGACCTCCTTTCAGCACAAGCAATGTTCCATCTAAACAGATACACAAGAGTCTCAAAGTGGCACATAAAATAAAATCCAACATAAGCTCTAAATCAACTTTTTCTCTATCTTTTTTAATCCGTGTATCATTTCTTTTTCAATTCCAAACCAAAAATGAACATTTGAGAATCATTTATTTCCTGGAATTTTGTTATGTAATACAGAAATGCAGAACAACAATTTAGACTTAGACAAACTTAATTGTCATTCTGTACGCACTCTGCATACAGAACAAGATTTTGTTGTATACAGCTTATGACAAGAATGAGATTGTAGCTGAAATAAATAAGGTTACAATATAAAGTGCAGTAGTGTTAAGATGCATCTGTGCAAGGAGGAAAAAAAGGAATTAAACAAAAATGTGCAGAACAATGAACGTTGGTAGTGCAAAAAATGATGGTGCAAAAAAAGCAGCCTTAAAGGTCAGTTTGGAGTTTAACAATTCAACGGTCTGATGGCAGCAGGGAAAAAGCTGTTCTAGAACCTACTGGACCTGCAGCGGATGCTGCAAAGCCTCTTTCTGCTTGTCATACAAAATTAAATATTTATATAAGAAACTGAATAGGAAATTCATTCATCTTATTTTTATTTTAGTTTTCAGCTCATTTGCCATCTCGTTTTTAAGCGTTGTGAGAAATTACCTCCGCCTGATGGACGATAGATGTGCAAGTAGTCTTCGGTCACACTTTAAAATATCACTATAAAATCAGTTTCATTACCAATATGAATACATTTAAGGGTTGTGTTGGGATGAATATGTTTAATTAAAGGTTGGTGTCCTGTAAAAAAAAGTTCAGCAAATCTCCTTACTCATCAAAGATGCATAAATTAATAATCCAGCATGTAGCAGTCCGAATGATTTATCAGTCTAGGCTAAGGTTAAGACACACCTGTTCACTTTTTAGTATGATGCTCACTATGGCCTTTTTTCCATTTCCATTTTAATTCAAGTACATAATGAAGGAAGAATGTAAACATGGGTCAATCAGATATGGTGGCTGCAGCACTTAGATGTAAGGAGCTTAGAAGATTTAGTTTAATGAACCTGAATCCACAAAGAATTCTACTCAAATCTATTCATGTTCTAGTAACATTTATTAATTTTTTTATTCATAATTAATCATTAAATGTTTACCTGTTAAATAATTCAAAGTAGAAGTGCTAATAAAGCACTAATAACCTGTGTAATAAAAAAATTTAGAGACAAAAAAAATTGTTTATACTGTATCATAAGCTTCAGCACACAATTTATTGTGCAAAATGTGAATGTTTTAATGTGAAGAAGAAGTTAGGAATGAAAGGTGTAACATTTCATTTCTTCCAGAGCAGGACCCTCATCCAGGACTCTTACATATAGCATACTACTCATCCTATGATTTTTTTTTCTTTTTATTTCATTTGAAGTGGGCCAAATCACTTAAATTAATAGAAAACTAATGCAAATTGCTGCTATAATCTTTTATTCATTTATTAAACGAGGTAACTCGCTATGATCCAAGTTTAATATTGGTGTGTGGCCTGAGCAGGCACGTCTGATGTTACTCACCTTGGTCGTCAGTTTACTCAGGGGGGGTTGTGTTTATGCTCAGTCACTTGAGAAATTAGAGGGAACATCAACCACAAGGTGCTTTTAAGATACAATCAGCTTGATATATTCTGCTACATTCTCAAACCAACACATTAAAGTACAGATGGCGAAAAGAGGAGGAAAACAAAATATTTACCTTGAATTAAATGTGTTTTTCAGATGGTGAGGATGAGTACAGGTCATATGGAGGGGGACCTGCAGCCTCTCTATCTGCTGCTGACTGACTGTTACATCTATTTACTGAGAAAGGGTGAGTGGCTAAAACACCATCAGCTAACATGCTATGGCCGGCAAAACTGACACCATCTCCATGTTATTGTCAGCCTTAGAGTTTATGTTGGACTGAATTATGTTTATGGATCATGATACCATTTAGTTTATTGCCAATTATAATACTACATTTGAAAATTAAAAATACTAACAATGAGGCCTGCAGGGCATGTTTTTTCTGTTTGAGCAGTTAAACTCAGATTTCACAGACAGCATATCAGCATGACCTCATTAGCCCTCTTGTACCAACCTTGACAACCAATCAGAGTTTATTCTAAATACTTAACGATCCCTGGATGGCTGGATACCCTGGAACCTTTCAATAATAAAAACCAATAAGCCAGCCTGAGCTAGTAATGAACGCTGTAATGAACTAACTGAAGTAGCTCCTACTAACAAAAGTTATTTAACACTAGCACACAATCAGAATAACTGAAAATATCATGTTGTGAAGAGAAGCTTATCCATCTTATAAAAAGATCCTGGTTAGCACAACAGCCGAGGACACAAACGCTAGCTGCAGTGCTAACATTTTCACAGGTTAAGCAGTCCAGCATAGTAAAGTCTCGCTCAGCTCTCCCCTTCACAGCTTTGTAACGGACAGTTGGTAGTGATCCATTCTTCAATTTAAGGTGTGTGGAGAAGCCTTCTTGTGAACACCCATGTTGTGAGGCAGTCCTTCACGTCATGCAGAACCTCTGGAGGTTTAAGAGGTAGATTTCTGTCTAAAATCAAATCCATCCACTGAGTCTTCAGGGGCTCAGATGAAGGCAATAAAAAAAGAATTTGTTTTGATGCAGCCATCAACAGAGCAGGTGTCCTTAGCTCAACACCTGTTTGGATGCTCGGTGTCGGTAAGCAGAGAGATACACCTGCTAGAAGGCAGCTTGGATGGGAGGGGGGTTATTTCCCCGAATGACATCATCAAGGGCATGCCGCTGAAACCTCGCATTTTATGCACACATCAACTAATAGGTGGATAAAAGCAGTGAGAGAGGGGAAAGGGTTTTTTCATTTTTGAACCTATTATACAGACTTCAGGACACGTGACTGTTAGAAAATGTTTATAAAGTGAATTTTGCATAATATGGGACCTTTAACTTTCCTATTATTCTCAGGAGCTGCGGAAAAACCCTACACAGTAGAAGATGCTGTTTCCTACAACGAACTTGACTATTTCTCTGTAAGTTATCTCCTTATTAGGTTATTGTTTATTGATTTGTTCTTTACTGATTTACCTTTTATATATGAGGCGAATCTTACAGAGTTTGATAATAATTAGAGGTTAAAGGCGGCATTTTTCAGTTAGCATGGTACACAGTGTGTCTTTTAGGCCAGTGTCAAAAGGGATGTTGGACGAGTCTAATTATCTTCCAGTTATATACATCATAGTGTTTTTTTCCCTTAAGGTTGGCCTTGACCAGCAGACAGTAACGCTGGTTTGCACCAACAGAAGAAGAAAGTTCCTGTTGGACACAGCTGACGGTTCCCTGACTGTGTAAGTTCTTATTGTCCTCATCTTGTTATTTCTTTACTCTTCTTCATCTTTGAACCTCTGATTATTTAGAGAGATTAAAAAAAATAAAAACTAGATATTTCCTGATCCTACATTTTCATTTCCAGTATGACCTGATACAATATTAGGAAGAACAATACACACTTTTATTAGTTATTTCGTGATGTGGAGTGTTAGAAGAGTATTACTTAAACTGAAAGTAATAGTCGATGTGAGAGCAACCAAACCAAAGATTATAACTGATTTGCTATGTAAACCGAGTGTTTCTATCAGCCTGATTTTATCTGTGATTGTTAAATGCCGGCTGATGTATTCGGATGTATGTTTTTTTGGGCTATCAGACCGATTTCCCTTATCAATAAGGTTTCGGAACATCCCTAGAAAACACGTTTCTTTAGCTGTTTTGCAAAATTATACCTCTGAGCAGTAGTTTAAATCTACTCATCATTAAATAAGTAATCATTCAGTTTTTACTTTCAATATATTTGTTGTGAATCACTTCTTTTTTTTTGTAAAAAGTGTAAATGTAAATACTAGAAATAGGTTTTGAAGCAAGAGTTCAGTCTCAATTATCTGATGAGACGTCCCTCAGTTCTACTCCTCTGTTTCTTCTATCTTTAGTTGTAGTTCAGTTTTTTCATGGTTCAAAGTTCAGGCTCATCATGATGCTTAATATTCCTCCATGTCATTTTCTAGCCAGTTTTGTTTAAGGTTTGTTATCACTGGGATTGTTAATCCACTTATCCAATCAGGATGTGGATCAACTGGTCAGAACATCCTGAAAATGCTTCTCAGTTTCTAGGTTGCCATTATTGAGAGTGTGGATTAAAAAAGGGTTTGCTTAACATATTATTAAATATTTGTGAATTTTAGTCCATAATAAAGATTCTGTGTTGTTTAGAGCCAGTTTGCATAAATTAAATTAAATCATTATTAAATCATTATTAAATTAAATCATTATTCCACGCTGGGAAAGCAGCAGCTCCATTGAGTAAATTGTTGAATAAAATGTGAGTGTGGATGAATGTTAATCCTTTGGCATCCTTTCCCTTTTCTCCTGATTATTAGCTGGTTCCTGTCTGTTCTGAAGTCAGCCATGGTCCAGGGATGCCGAGAGCCTCCCTATCCTGCTGTTCTAACAGATGCCACCATGGAAAAACTGGCTTTGAATAAGTTTGTCTCCCAGGAGTGTCATTGTGAGGTAGGAGGATGTCATTTTATGCTGTAGTAGCTTTTTAAAACCAAACCGCTTCATGACGAATGTTGCATGTCGTCCTCAGGTGTCTGAAGTGTGTATTGAGCTGTATTCTTTGGTTCACTGGGAGGACCCGATGGATATGAGCATGTCTCCCCAAGGAGGCACCCCCACCTCTGGGATGCCGCCCAGCACCAAAGAAGGTACCCTGCAGTACAGGTGTGGAACCACCTACCTGGGTAAAGAACAGTGGAAGAGCTGCTATGTCGTTCTCAGGTACGGACCTCTGACTTACCTCATCCTACCATCCTAAAGGGTGGTTTATACTCAGAAACCAGGTCGTCTGCGTGTGTCACAGTGAACGAAAATGTGCCTATGCCCCTTCCGCAGTCACTCTGGAGCACCTCTCTAAAATATTAGGTGACAGCTGACAGTGCCGCAGACAGGAGGCATCTTATTGGTCAGATCAACATCCGCTCTACACTATGAATATTTCCTGTTGGTTCCTTACCGGCTTGTTTTGTTTGTATGACCGCCATTATGGAAAACGACTCGTGAAGATGGACCAGTTAGAAGAGGTGTGCGAGAACGCTGGGACCCTTTTTTACACCTGGAGTCCTTTTTTTCGCCCTCACACTGGAAAAAATCAAAACACAGATAGGTCATTCCGTAAAAGTTCAAAAAATCCACTGGACTTGGTTTCCAAGATTTGAAGTCCAGTGGATTTTTTGAACTTTTACGGAATAACTATGACCTGGATTACTGAGAATCTTCATCGGCACAGATAGGTCAGTTTGCCTTAAAATAAGTACATTTGTTCTTGGATTGAGGAGGTAAAACTAACACAACAATTTACACTTAAAATAAGAAAAAAAACAATTGCATTGTCTTATTTCAAGTTCATATTATCTACTTATCTATTTTAAGACTAAAATAAAAATAGGTAAATGAGATAAAAATCTCATTTACCTACTCAAATTAAGGTTGAATACACTTAATTTAAACAATTATTTACTTATTTCTAGATTGTTTTTCCAGTGCATGTCCCTCCGTTGTCGCACAAACTTGCCCCCACTTCCTCACCGCCTCGGCCGTATCTAGACCCACAGCTAGTTCGTGATTGTCCCTCTTGCGTTGTGGCCTAGCATAACATAGCGCAGACCATGCTTCAATATTGGGCATAAATCAAAAATGTCTACAACAAGCTCACTGCAACACACTACTGCGGGAGAATAACCAGCCCTTAACTCTCCAACATGTTAATGGCTCAGGTCTACAGCATCATGCAAGATCTGTAGTTTTTTTTTTTTTTTTATGTGAAAGACTCAGGCTTTCCTCTGAGCAGATCTTCTGTCCTTATGAAGCAGCAAACGTCACCTTTTTAATTTTACAACTGAAAAGCAGTTTTCTTGGCATCACCTTGATGCCATCTTTAAACCAAATGTCTAAGAGCAGATTTTTTTCACCTGAAATGACCTTCCAGCCTTGTTTTTTTTTTTTACTTTGTCTGTAGATGTAAGGAGATTAAAGAAGGAAGTTATTTTGTTGCGAGTTCCTGACCTAGCATCTGTGGCTAAAATGTTTTCACATGTTTCCTGTTTCTAAGAGGGGCATGAAGAAATGCTTCTCTGTGTTACTTCATGTTAACACATCAGGAAATGTATTATATCTCCAATAAATATTTATCCTCATGTTGTGCAGCAATGGGATTCTGTACCTGTATGCAGAGAGGACAGACGTCACCCCTCTGCTGTCGGTCACAATGGGGTAAGTGTCAGAAAGCTATCAGCTGGTTCGTGTTCTCAGACGATCAGAAAGTTTGAGGTCCTCCTTGTTTCTCCACAGTGGGGAACACTGTGGAGGCTGCCGTCGCTCCAACAACACAGAGCGTCCCCACGCCTTCCAGGTCATCCTGACGGAGCGCCAGCCGCTGGTGCTCAGCGCCAACGATGAGCAGGACATGGCTGAATGGATGCAGCTGCTCTGTCAGGCTGTTTCCAAGGGAGTAAGTAGAGAACATTGTCAGAATGCTCTGCTGGGTTTCTCAGATTCTACTCTTGATCATCTCCATTCAATAATTGCCTTTCACATCAATATGGGCTGATGTAAACTACTCCTTTTACCCCAGGTCATCCCTCAGGGTGTGGCTCCGACCCCATGTATCCCTTGCTGCCTGGTGGTAACAGACACGAAGATCCTAACTTGCCATCAGGACTGTCAGACCAGTTTTTTTCGTTCGCTGGGCAGCGCCGATATCTGCGATGTGACCAGCGTGAGCTTGGAGCCCGACAAGGAGTACTGTGTTGTTGTGAGCAATCTTCTGATCACCTTCTTCTTTAGTTAACAGCTTTTTCAATTTCTGTGCATCTAAAATTTATCTAATGGCAGTAAAATTAGTCTTGTTGGTTAAGATGAGTCAGATTATTTATCACGGGCCATATTCTGAAATAGCAGCAAGAAAAGAAAACTAACAACCCACAGTGTCTGCCAGGCTTCTCTCTGCTTTACATTAGCCTTTTTTATTTAGTGAGAGTTAAAGCTCTGAGGGTTTACTACTGTATTCATATCCACCTGATTTTTAAATCAGAATTGATCTCTGTCTCTCATCAAATGCTGAGCTACTGCTGAGGTTATTTTCTGAACAAATCATTGCTTTGCAGTCACAGTCACTGCAATTGGTCCATAACCAACGTGGGTTAATGCTGCACTCAGTATTCAAGTTGCAATAAATGTGTCTCAATTTCTTGTGCATCCGTCTCCAGTCCAATTCCAGTAAGAGCGTTTCACTGAGGAGAAGAAAATCAGAGAATATTGGTTGAGGTTCAGAAATCAAAAAAGATTTTTCAAAGCTGAAAACCACAACTGCAGAATGGGGGGGAGCACACCCAGTGACAATATAGGCATTCATCACAATCTTTCTTGGGACAATTTATCCCTCAGGCCGAGCATACAGGTTAAGTTGGAACTGCGGTAATCTCTGAGGTGATATTCTTCCAGTTTCTACTAAGACCTCTTTTACTATAACAAATAACAATTTAATAATAATGTTCTACTTTATAAGTATAAAGAATGTTAAAACATCTGATTTTATAAACTCTATAGAAAGCAATATTTATACGCCTGACTTAATGATACTTACAGATTAAAGGACTTTTAAAAACAGTCAAAATAGGAGAGTTGAACTACTGTTAACAAGAGTAGCAGCCTTCTTGAATAAAGAAGTCAGGTGTGTTGCTCCGGCTTTAGAGGGCATTTTTCCTATTCTGATATCAGAATTCTGAACCACACACTGGAAAAGACTGAAATCTCAGTAATTTTCTTTTTAGCAGTGCATTTATTCTTGAATTGAGGAGGTAATTATTGTTGTTTACCTGCTCAAATTAAGGCTAAATACACTTCATTTAAGTCATATTTACTTATTTTTTAGATAGTTTTTGCACCGAAGTACAATTAAAACGCAGCATTGGTGCTGACCAACTAGCAGCCATAGATTTTGCCTGTGAAGTAAAATCTATGGCTGTGTCTATGTGAACATCTTTACAGTTTGTAAAAAAGACTGTGGACGGTACTGTAACACTCAAATTATATCTCCTGTGTCTTTACCTTTTGTTTTTTTCCAGCACTTCAGTCTCTGTTTTTCTTCACAGGAATTCGCAGCAGATCGGACTCAGTTCCTTCCTCCTTGGGTGTTATACTTCAGCGGATGTGAAGAGAGAGATCGGCTTCTGAGGGCTTTAGAAAAGACATGGAAAGCCATTTTTCAGGTCAGCCATGTTCTTTGCATGCGGTGGTATTACAATATTAATATTAATTAGACAAGACTAAGATAATAAAAGATGGTTCATTTAATAACGTAGTTGTATAGTTTAACTGTCCTGCCTGTCGTTGTTGCACACAGGTTGACCTCCCCCAAAGAGAGCTGTTGGACCCACTGGTGCAGAAACGCTGCGGTGAGGCTCTGGAGCTGATGAAGAGTGCTTGGCAGAGGGCAGACAGCCTAGCTCGAGGCAGAGCCCAGCGGGAACCCTGGTGCTGACGAACAGACTTCCACCTTAACAATCAAACAGGAGCATTTCACTGATGGGACACAGAGGTGTCAGAAGTAATGTTCTGGGCCAGCACTAATCAGTCAGCAGACTCAGACATGAGGAGATAGTTTAAAGCAAAGCAAAGTTTTTAAGTGTTTTCATTTAAGAACATTTAATGCTAACAATGCAGTGCATGCACACTGAAGGGATGTGGTGCTGCAGCCGAGGACACTAATCCATTCCTCTAAAAAGCTGTTTAGAAGAAATAATGAAGGTTTGTATCGTAAAGTTCTGACCTTTGCCTCCTAAGATCTATGTACAACTGAAGCATGACTAGAATTCACAACCAGGAGCTTTATTCTACGTTAGCAACATCATATCATATCATATACATCTGGATAAGTTCACAATCTTATCCTGTGCTCCGATAAATGTTTATAACACTCACTGCTTGCATGTTGCACACAGCCTTTTGAATTTGAAGGTACGTTTACAGGGAAACTGGTTCAAAGGTGGAACAGGTTACAGTGGCAACACAAGGTCGCTGACGGTGGCCTGATATTCAGATTAGTTTGCTACAAGCGAGAGCGCGTACCTCTTTACTCAGTTATTCTCTCATAAACATTATACTGGACCCTGTAGGGGTGAACACCTGATGTAGATGATCACATTTTACACACATTTCCACTCTGGGAAAAACTCACAAGCCAGAAATGTCTTCTTTTATGAGATGAAAAATGTGATCACCTCAATCATTTTGCCTTTTTTTTTTACACATTGGAATCAGATGGAGGTCTGCACATTGTTTTTGTTTGTTTTTCTATGCATATGAGTTTTTTTTTTAACTTAATGCTTAAGTTTTTTAATTTCCTTGTTCCGTTGTGATTTACTTAGGTTTTCCACTATATAAACGGGTGCATGTTTCAGCCTGTTTGAATAGCGCCTCACAGAAGGCTGTTTTATTCTAACAGCTGCTTGCTTTTAATAACATTCAACTTTTATTTATAAAGTTAACGATCCTTATTGTCCTGCAGGGGGTCTTTAATGGCAAAAATAATTTCTATGAAGGATAATCCCACATTCACACTTAGGAGGGAATAAAAGCTACATTCTATGAGTTGTAGGTTTTGGCATTGAATCTCAACGGTTTCTCCTAAAACTTGATCGATGTACCGTTTCCTGCTTTACAAGCAGCATCATTTCAACACAAATGGAATGTTTTGTTTGCATTGACAGATTTGCCTTTTTTACATTTTAATGTAAAGCCGCATTGAATACAGTTAGGTTTTGATTAATAAACTTTTGATATTTTATTTCATTTGGGTTTGTTTTTATTTTCATTTTCTTTAGTTAGATGTTTAATGAAAAATGAGCTTTGGTGTAAAACCTTTACTCTAAACGGATGTGGAAGAACTTTCTCTAAATTTAGCATTTTAGGCTAAATAGGTTTTATCAGATGTGCTGTTTTTAAATGATTAACTCTGTTGATAAATATGCACTGCATTAAAATGCCTCCTAGCCATATACGTACATCTTGTACAATCACACTGTGTTACTCCTGTGTTAGCATTAATCAGGGAGGTAAACCTTATTAAGTGCCACTAGCTCTTGCTTTTTTTTCTTAATGTTTTACAGAGAAATCTCAGGTGGGGGAAGAAAAAAAAAAGGTCCCAGAACCTTCAGAATCACCTCGTGGGATTTTGTTTGGCTACAGCAGCCGTTCTGTTCTGCACAATATTTTATAAATATCCCTTTTTTTTTTAGCTTTGGGATAAATGCTTCGATGCTCAGTGCAGGGTTATGAAGTTATTTTTGCACACACACTGGGAAGAACATTTGGAAAATGGATTTTTATGAAATTTGCTCTTTGCAAATGTCAATTCTTTATTAAAAATCCTGTCTGCAAATTCTTAAACCCATTGATTTGTGAGAGTAATGTCAGAAAAGTTGGTTACTTGAAATGATTGTTGTTCTGTGCTCAGAAATGTGCCTGTGGATTGTATATAAAGAAAAAGTCAAGTCAGTGTCTGAGTGTTTCAATTGTGGGAAATTGCTGGTCAATGATGGACAATATCTTGTAGTGTTAAACTGTAACAAAGTTTTTTTTTTGTTTTTTTTACATGCACATTGCATGGAATGTGTGTCTTTCATTAGATTTATTAAAATGTAAATAAAGAACTAATAAGAGTGTAAAGTCCTGCTTAAACATATGCATGTTCTTAAGGTTTTATACTCTAAACTGCAAAGAATGTACAAACGAAGCTTTGGAAAATGTGTCTAAATAAAACTATAAAGAAGCTGTTGACTCTTGTGGTGACTCTGTGGGATTTAAGTATTCCAGCTTTCTGTCTTAACAACTGCAATTATATTGAAAGATCAAAGCTGCGGTGTTCATGTTGGAGCAGGACCAGCAGCTTCACAGGTTATAGCAGCTCCATGAAGGTTTTACTCTGATCAAATATAACACTGTAGTCTGCATGAAGCTGTAGCAGATTATGCAGAGACCTTCAAACAAGCCAACAGTTCAGCTACTATTAGCTTTTTGTCGCTAAAAGAGGAACATAAATTATTTATTGACTTTATGTAACAATACATGGTCAGGTTTTCTACTCCAAAGCTGAAGCCGCTGTGCAGTCAAGAAAATGAAAAGTAAAGTCTGTAAAATTTTAAGGTTTCCCACCAACTCCGAACTTCCAAATCCAATATAGTTCTCATGCATATAAACATTGAAAGAAAAAAATTAATTCATTGGATTGTGAACATGCAGGTTAAAAGAACAGAAGACGAATACTTAGCTTGTTTTGTTTTGATTACATCAGTAAGACTGCAGTTTACTTATGAATTCAGAACATGGCTGATGAAGGTTGGATAAAGTTCTTAGATAAAAATTATAAAACCCACCAGTATTGATGTCTGTTTAACTGTGGGCCTATACTGGATGTCCTTATTGCATGCTTCAACCATTCATTTATTTGATTGTTTCTTGGGTGTGTTATATTCAGGGGTGGAAAGTAACGAATTACATTTATTCACGTTACTGTAATTGAGTCCTTTTTATGAGTAATTTGTAATTTTCTGAGTAGTTTTTGAAAATGTAATTTTTACTTTTACTCGAGTAAATTTTAACCTAAGTAGTTTTACTTTGCTACATTTAAAACCCCCTCACGTTACTGAGTGTCGGTTCTGTGTTACAGAACCAACACTCAATCACCATTAAAAATAGAAGAAGACTTTTGACTTTTAAACGCAGTTTATTTACACAATTTAAACATATAAACAATTGATGTAAAAACAAGTGTCAGTTAAAAATCACTAATAAAGTAAAACAAGTGTTAGTTAAAATCATTAAATGAGGAGCTTGTTAATAACAGTGGCATCCTGTTGCGTTTTAGTTTGATTTCTGGTATCTTTTGGGCATTTAATTTTGTGTGCATTTTGAAAACTTTAAAATGTAGTTTAAATTTCTTTATTACTATCATGGTGTTGTCTGTTGAACAGTAGGACTGAAAATTGTTTGCACTTTATGGTACAGGTTCTGACTGTCCTTGTGCTATGAGGAAGTATGTTCTTTAGCACAGCTGATCTTGTGCAAGTGTGGATGTCCACTGAAATATGCCTTGAAATCGATTAAAACACCCTGTGGTCAATTCTATTCATGACTCATCCTTTTTTGGCATTAAATAACTCAAAGTAACTAAGTAACTTTTACTCAAATTACATTTTAAATGAAGTAATTTTGTACTTTTACTTGAGTAACTTTTGAGATGGGTAATTTTACTTTTACTCTGAGTAGAATTTAGGCAAAGTAAAGATAATTTATACTCAATTATAATTTTTTAGCACTCTTTCCACCTCTGGTTATATTTAACTTATTTTGTTTTGTCACAAATAAGTGGTAGCAAAAATATTCCTCTTAGTAAAAAATAATTAGCAGCCTGCTTTGTCAGAAAAAAAAAATAAATTTGTGCAAATCCCCATTAAAGGCCAATTTCTTGATGCACCATGAAATCAGAGATGCTTAAAGAGCAAATAAAAGCTATTTTTGTTTTGATTACTTTACTAATGTTAGTATTTGGTGCTGTATTATGGAGAGTTTAACTGTTCTCATTGCCTAGTTATTGTCCATAAAACTCCTTATCAAAACTAGTTCTTAAAAAATGTAAAACACACCTTAAAATTTTACCCAAATGGTATAAAATCTGGAAACACAAATTTTTAACAACTTTACAATTCTGTAAGGAGATCTGTTCCACACTGGTACTTTTCTAACGTACTGGGTAAGCAGCCTTTACTAAGCACCAACTCTCTTTTAAAAAAAACTCAGAACTTTAGAAAAAACAGAAACGAGTGAGATTTTGTTTCCCTTTATTACTTTACCCTTTATCCTCCATAGTTGACATTATAGTTGACCAATGGACAGTTCTCTCCAGCTTTGTCCTGCAGCTACCACAAGAGGCTGCTGCATTTCATCTTACCTTATTAATTGAAAATATGGACAGTCTCTTAAGCTGTAGCTCAAATTTCATTTAAGATGCATCAGGGTCGCCACGTACTTCAGTGGTGGAGCCGCCGGTCTATATTAAAGGCTTTAGCTCTTTAAATGCATTCCTTCCTCTTCTGTCTGTCCACCTTCCTTTCTTAGTAATGTATACAAGTGCCATAAAGAGATGCATCTATATAGATAGATATAGAAAATAGAGGACTGATCAGAGATGCAGCCAAGAGGCCCATGATTACTCTGGATGAACTGCAGAGCTGAAGTGGGAGACTCAGGGACAGGATAGGGATGGAGCCACAATTCTGGAAGAAAACCTAATAGAGTCTGCAAAAGACCAGAGACTAGGACGGAGATTTATTTTCTAACAAGACAATGATCCAAAACATGAAGCAAAATCTACAGTGGAATGGTTCACAAATAAACATATCCAGGTGTTAGAATGACCAAGTCAAAGTCCAGAGCTGAATCCAATGGTAGAAAGAACTGAAATCTGCTGTTTCCAGACGCTCATCATCCAACCTCACTGAGCTCCAGCTGCTTTCCAGGAAGAATGGGCAAAATTTTCAGTCTATCAATGTGCAAAACTGATAGAGACATAACCTAAACAACTTGCAGCTGTAAATGCAGTAAAAGGTGGCGCTACAAAGTATTAACTCAAGGTGGTTGAATCATTTAGCACACCCAATTTTTCATAATTTTACTTGTTGAAGATTAAAATACCCATTAAACATCTTTCAATTCCATAATTGTGTTCAACTTTTTGATTTAATAAAAAAAAATTCTATATTTTTATGTTTGAAGCCTCAAATGTTGCAAAAGCTCGAAAAGTTCAAGGGGGTTGAATACTTTCGAAAGGGTTACTTATTTTTTGAAAGAATTTGCTGATTTTTGGAAAACATAACAACACTATGCCCTTATCAAAAGAGCATTTTTTGGGAACAAAAAAAAAAAGAAAAAAATAGAGAGGCAATTATAGGAGAGTCTTTGTACAGTCCCACATTTGAAGTGCATCCGGGGCCACTGGAATTGCAAAATAGAAACAGCTTTGGAAAACACCACTAACTGAGATTGTGAGCTAATATGATGCAAGGGTTTGTTGTTGTTTCTTCTTTCTTCCAAACATAAAATATACTACTTTCATTAGATTATAGTCCACATATACTGGCATTTGGATGGAATATTCTCTTCCTCCTGTCTGTCATTGTATGTTTACACTCCTTTCTCGCTACAATAACTGCAGACATGTTGCATGATAGTTTGCATCTGACTTTCAAATGTGCTAAATAAAGACCCAGAAACTGCATTCACAATTGATTTTAAGTTTGATTATTGCATTGCAGAGGTTAAATAATGCATTGTATTATAAATACAGATCATCCTCCCAGTGTTTTGCATGTTCTGATGATTAGCATTTGTTCTGAGTACGACCGGTTAGTAGATCGGCTTTGCACAGTCTGTCAAGTTTGAACATATTTTTATTTAAACAAAAATGAAATCTAACAAAGGCTTGCCAAAAGTCAGGCCAAGGGCCACTTTCTTGTAGGTTTAAGAGGTTTCCATGTTACAGCACAGCTGATTTTCATTGATAGCTGATATAACTTATGGCCACATATGAGCAGATGCTGACATACCTCTGGGAATTTTGTTTAGCATGCTCAAAATTTCCCGACGTACTTGCCAAATATCGACTTGTGCCAGCTTATTTCAACGTGTTTCAGCGTTACTTCAGCGTACTGATAACTTATACAAATTGTACCCATGACTTATCCAGTGTATGCCAGCATTTTTGCCAGATTTTTCATACGTCAGGCCAATGCTGGTCTAAATCGTTAAGGTGTGGCAGAGGTTTAACAAGCTTTTGCTAAACTGCAATCATCAGAATCAGCTTTGCTAAATCAGGGAAACCTCTAAAACCTGCAGGACGGCGGTCCTCGAGGACCGACTTTGGGCATGCCTGCAACAGATTAATATACCCAGCTGTAAGTTATGGTTATTGACCTCCTGAAAGTTAAAGCTCCTCAGCAGTCTGGAGTCCAAGGCAGCCTCTAACATTACCTTTATCTGGATATTTTTATATTTAGCTAAGTTTGATGCACTTCTGTGCCCTACTGAAGAAATGAATTACCTCAGCATGATGCTGCAAACATGCAGGTAACTCTATTTTCTGTGGATAAAATTATGGTTACCAACGTTTTCTATTTAACTTCCAAAGGTGTTCACAAAGCTGCCCTATTTATAGAAAGATTAAATTGCAGATATATTCTCTTTACTAACTCAATGACCTCTCTACATTTTGCATTTGGGGGACATGAGCATTTAGCTTCTTTTTCAGCTTTTTATAAATTGAACAAGGGCTGTGCATATTAATCAATGCGTTTTTGGCAAATCCATGTACATAAATATGATGGAGTTAGCCCCATAGCTACTTTTCATCCATAGTCCTCTAAGGCAGCGACAATGGAAGATGGTCCCTGATTTAGGATTATTGATTGTGGTGTTTCACTGAACGGTCACTATGTTTAGAAATTGTTGAGGTTTTGTGTATTAACCTCTACTTTACTGTTTTACATAGAACCATTAGGGTGGAGCTTCTCCACTGATGCTTTTGCTTAATAATTTATGTAAATGTGTGTAAGTTTTAGAACTGGCTATAAGACCATTGTTTAACAGTTTGTTTGGAGAGATGAATATACAGTAGTACACAGCCAACAGATGAATCCTGTTTTTCATTTAGTCGTGGTAGAGATCGCCTGGTCTCATCTCCTCCTGACTCTACATTAAATTATTTATGCCT